GTTGCCGAGATTCAGTCGCCTGGGACAAACTGACCCCTCACACAGACTTACTAGTTATCGGCAGGTCTCCTTCCCGTGGAATATTGTTAGAAGATCTTCAGCAGGTCCCATGCAAGTGTATTTATGTGTCTCTCTGATCCTGTTACTGCGGAGGTATAGAAAATGCTGCTTGCTCGCCGGCCGCCATGTTGGATCCCCTGTTGAGTATTTTTGATTAAAAAGATATTAATTAAATTAATGAATTTAACAAATGTTCATTGAACTCGAGTATAAGCACTGTGTTGAAGATAGGGAATAGGAGATTGAAAGTATTAAGGAGTGACAACTAGCTTTTTAGTCGTTGGTGCACATGTAACTGTTCATCTGTGTCTATTACTTGGTGAACAAAGAAGAAAAGTCCCTGTTACCTTCAGGATAACTCCTCAGCCAAACACCATTTCAATATGATTTCCACTTATCCTTTCAGCTTCATCTGTTAACATTTCCCATATTTACCTTTTGCTCTAGTCCTTTTTGGGAAGATTATGGAAGGATTTATGAAGTCCTCAAACATCTGTGGTTCTTCAAACTTCATGACTCCTTGCCTGGGTCCTTGTGGTTTTCCTCTGATGGAATGCTTTGCTTGTTTGCTGACACTTGCCCACAACTTCTTTTCATATTTTCTGCTAAACAGTGAGATCCTGGAGAACAGCTGCCATTTCCTTCACTATGGCCTCTAGAACTTAGTATAATGCTTAGCATATAGAAGCCACACAGTCAGTGTGTTGAACAAATGAATGAATGAGGTGAAAGTAAGTGTAATCCAAATCTCTAGTGGTGATGAATACATAGAGCTTTTGTGTATTTGGGAAAGTCTTAATTTCTCTTTCATTTTTGAAGGGTAGTTTTGCTGAATTCTTGGTTTGTGGTTTTTTCTTTCAGCATTCTGACTATATTATCCTTTTCTCTTCTGGCTTGTAAAGAAGAGAAAAATTCATTGAAAACCCTATGAATGGAGGCTGGGGWTGTGGCTCAGTGGAGGAGTGCTCACCTAGCACATGTAGGAGCATTGGTTTCCATCCTCAACACCACATACAAATACCACATACAAATGTGTCCATCTACAAGTAAAATATATTTTTTAAAAAACCCTATGGAAGCTCCCTGTATGAGCTGATTTTTTTTCTTGCTGTTTTTGATATTTTTTTCTTTGTGACCTTTGACAGTTTGATTATACTATGTCTTGGTGTGCATCTCTTTGGATATAAGCTAATTGGAACTTATTAACCTTTTTGAATTTGTATGCCCATTTGCTTTTTCTAATCTGGGAAGTCTTGGCCATTATTTCTTCATATAGCTTCTTTGCCTTTTTCTCATTCATGTCTCTGTCTGAGACTCCCACAATGTAAGTTGATCCACTTGATGATATTTCATATGTCTATTAGGCTGTCCTCWTTTTTCTTAATTCTGTTTTCCTTTTGCTTCTGTGACTCAATAATTTTGAATGACCTATTTTCAAGTTTGCTGATTCTTGATCAAGTTGCTATTGAATCCCTCAAATGAATTTTTCAATTTAGTTGTTATATTCTTCAACTCCTGAATTTCTGAGTTTCTCTTTGTTGATATTCTAATTTTGTTAATATATCAGTTTTCTGATTTCATTTAATTGTCTCTCTGTGTTATCTTTTAGCACACTGAGCATTTTAAGATAATAATTTCAAATTCTTTTTCATGTAATTTCTGGATCTGTATTTCTTCAGGGTCAGCTGCTAGAGATTTATTTGGTTCTTATACTGGACCATGTTTCCCTGTTTCATTGTGTGCTTTTCTAATTTTGTTGATATTTGGGCATCTCATCTCTTCCAGTCTTTATGGATTCACTTTGTACCGTAGAAGACTGTACAATCAGCCAAGTTAGAGATTTTAAGAATCTTCCAAACATTCTCTGAGGATATGTCTTCCTGGCTTTTGTGTGTATTTCCTCACTTAAAAAGAGACCTCTGATATTATCCAGAGCCCATAATCCCTGTTCCTTTTGGTGTCTGTCTGTGGTACTTCAGAGTCTCTAGTGCTGAAACGAGTTGCCACRTTTGCTTTTGTTCGCCGTGGCCACCAGGCATCCAAAGTAGACTGTTGTTCCATTCAGTAACTTAGTCATGCCTTTAGGAAGCACCCTGTAAAGACAGAAAGTAACTCTTCTTTTTCCCTCCTGAGGGAGAAATGAGGGATTAGGAATTTACTYCTGATTGTGCTATTCTGTGCTAGGTGTGAGGGTATAGTCATGAGTAAATGCAAAAAAAATTCTTATCTGCTTTGATGTGGCTTTTCTTGGCTTTTCACTCACTTGGGGTGCTTCCAACTCTTAATTGGTTTCTGGAGTTCTTACACAGTGAATTTGGTTTATATGTTGTTGTTAAATCAAAGTCTTTATGGTGGTATGAGGGCTTGGGGCTTCCTATTCAGCCATCTTACTTATATCACTCTTAAAGGGAATCCAAATCTGTTTTGTGAGATGGAGATAATTAATATTGTAGAGCTTTGATAATTAGCATTTGTATAGATGGAAGCACATCTGTTCTCTCCCCCACCTTTCCAGTCAAGGATTAAAGAAGTCATTCCAGACTTCTGACTTTGTAATCTAGTGTCTGTCTCTCTTTAGTAATAGTGGTTAACATTTAGTAAATGCTGATTATGTGTCAGTCATTTTTCATATTGCTATTATATGTAATACCTCACTTGTTATAATAGTTTAAAAGGAAGATAGTATGATTTCTCCCATTTTACACGTAAGAAAACAGAGTGGCAGAGAATCTATATAATTTATGTAAGGTCATACAGCTGATGATTATCTTAGACTCAATTTTCAAAAGGCATTAARTAGATATTTTGCAGCATTAAGTTAATATTTTTAAAATTAGAATGGTGTTGTTTATATTAGTCAACTTTAAGCAAAATCATTTGTTGTAACAGGCAATTATTCAATTATTATGGATATTATTTTGTGTTGATTGTAAGTGGTAATTACACTGCTGAAATATCGATAATTTACATAACCAATGTAGAGTGACATCAAAGTTGTATTTTTTGCAGGACAGAATTCATTCAGAGAGGCAGGATTTCAATCACAGGGGCTGGATTTCTCAACTGTATTTTGGAAACTTTTGCTGGCACATTCTTAAGACAGGGGGCACAGAAGGTAAGCTTGTTTCCACTTTGAACCAACATTATTTTAAAAAACCGCAGGGATTCCAATAGGGCATTGAAAATGATTTAACAAGAAAAATTGTCATGAACAGACATAATTAGAAAAAGTACAGTTAATAAACAAATGTATCCTGAAATAATTTCTCTCAATAATCTCAATTAATTAATTAAAGTAAATCTAAATCAAAGTAAAACTAAAGTACAACTATTAAACTAAAAATACGCTGAAGTCTTCTTGTGCTAATATAGAGAATACTTGAGTCTAATTAAGAACAATATCATAATGAATAAACATATTTATAGTACATGAAGTATAACAAATACTTAATAACCGCATAATAATAATTAGTATTTATTAAGTGCTTACTATGTACTACTGATTACTGGATGAATTTTTATTTATTATCTCACTTAATCCATATAAATCTTTAAAGTGGCTGTTACTGTCCTTATATTATGGATGAGGAAAATAGACCTGGAACTCCCAAGTGTCCATTCTTACAGAGTTCAGGCTCTGATTTGAGGGAGCTTAGGATTCCATGAAGGTGATTTAGAAATCCCTTTGTGGTTCTAAGGTCCCGTCTGCCCTGTTTAAAGTGGACTCATTCTGTTTTTAATCTGTCTGACATGGCAGTACACCTGACTTTTATGTATCCCATTTTCTTGCCCTTGGAGCACTGTTTTAAAAATTTCTTTAGAAGAAAGTCCATTTTTCATGTGTTCTCATATGCCTATCGCAGTATTGATTATAGAGAAAGTACTCAGAAGTGTTTTATTATTGTTGTTATTCATTGTGATGGTAATTCTTCCCATTATTCCCAGAATTTGCTCAGAATATAATGCATGTTACCTCATTTTCTTGTTGTATGGGATCAAGTTAATGGATGGTCTAAGGAAATATTGTAATTCCTGGTTAATGGACTCTTGCTTTTCATTTTTTTTTTTCCCCAAGAAGGAACCTAGACCGAAGGCATTATTGGGGGWGGGGGTGTTTGATAAGTGTGATGAATCAGTAGTTGGTACTGTTCCATACACCATAGTCATCATGTTGAGGTTGGTGTGTTCTTGGCTCAGTTGAGGTGGTTTCTGACACATATCCTGACTTGTCTAGATGACTTAATCCTGGGCTTGAAAGGAGTACTTAATTTCTAGAAGGTCTGATTTCACCTTTAATCACTAAGACATTGTTGCTAGGTTTTCTGATGTGTCACAACGTATGCATTTGTAAAACTCCCCATGTTCTAAAAAATTGCATTCTAAGTATGATGGGGGTGATGAGAAAAATAATTTTATTATCATGTCCCTGACTAAATGGGCTTCTTATGCATCCTTTAAATCTTGTGTTATAACAACAACATAATAATAATTAAATACTTTTTTTGTAATACAGGTTTATTAGAAGAATTTAATTTGGGGGGAGGGATTACATTTAGCTGAATTAATGTTCAAAGTTAACGTTTGATGATAGTGTTCCCTGTCATCAAATTGGCTGCAGTTGTTCATTTGTAAAAACCATTTTTGTCCTGTGAGCCATGTAGAAACAAGTATTGGGGTGGATTTGGCCTTGGAGCTGTGGTTTGCCAACCCTTGCTTTAAATAAGTGAACATTGTTCAGTTAATCCAAGTGGGTCTGTATTTGATCTGCCAATCAATCTGAACCTATTAATGACTTTTAATCATACAGAGATTGTGTACATTTTGATCCTGTGATGTGCAAAAAGTGAACATTTTGATTCTTATTTTACTAATGACAAATGACTTAAAGAGATAAACATATCCAATATATGGGTAACTGCTTGCCCACCTTTGTTCTAGTAAAATATATATTGAGTGCCTGTTTTGTGATTGGTACCATGCTCAGTATAGGCTAAACGGATTCACTCAGTGCCACAGAACTAGTACAGTATAGGATCTGGATTCAAATTCCTGTCTTTTTGTCAACAAAACTTGCCTCTGGCTACTACTGAGCATTTCTCAGATGAATGAAACAGAGTCCTTACTTCTGAACAGCACGAACCTCACAAATGCTACTGTGCACCAGGTGAATTTGAATTGTGGTCTCCTTCCCTTTTGTTTCTTAGGATTCTTTTGTTGAAGTAACAGAAGTCACTTTAGGCTAGCTCATTGTGAGGGTACAAAGGTGGTGGGTGGTGGGGCTGGTAGGCTTCAGAAAGATCTGCACTGGGGTCTGAGAGCTGCCAAGCACCCGTGTGGTCGTCCTTCCTCAGCTGTTGTCTGTAGCTGTGTCTGCTTGACTCTTCGTGTTCCTGTCGTCTGGTTCCTGTCTCTCTCCTGGCTGCACAGTGGGATGTGGGCCTCCACAGTTCAGGTATACATGCTACATAGGGTTCTGGCCAACAAAGAGACTGTCTGCTGATGTCTTTTCTTTCTAAAATTTGTAGAAGAGACCCTTGCTGGCTTTGTTATAGGTCCAGAGCCACCAAGAGGATGAGGGACAGGTTTTGTAAATACATGTCATCCTCTACCCTGACCCTGTGGGTCAGGGTTGGGGGGTTGTTTCTCAGAGAAAGGGCTGGTGGGAAGGGCAGATATTCCCAAAGTTTTCTGGCGTGTTATCRCAGGAGAGTCTTTGTTCCTTGATGGTAGAGAGGGGGTTTTGTTTATTTCTTTTTTTWAAAAAAATTGAATCTTCATAAATTTAGATTATTAATTGTGGTAAAGAATACATAAAAAGTTTTATCATCTTATCCATTTTTAAGTGTATATATTCATATTGTTATGTAACAGATCTCCATAATATTTAAACCTTGGAAACCTGAAGCTGTAAACTCATTACCAGTTCCCTTCCAACCAAGCCCCAGTTAACTATTATTTTGCTTTCTGTTTCTATGATTTTGACTGCTTTAGATACCTCATATAAGTGGAATCATATAGTATTTGACTTATTTCACTTACTATCCTCAGGTTTATCTATATTGTAGCATGTGAGATTTCCTTCTCTTTTTGGACTATGCAATAGTCATATATCTATATCTATCTGTCTCTATATATGTGTATATATATGTCTATTTATACACATGCACACACACCATATTGAGTTTATCCATTCATCCATCGATGGACATGTGGATTGCTTTTGCCAGCTGGATATTGTGAAAAGGGCTGCTGTGGGCATGGGTGTACAAATATCTGAGATCTTCCTTTTTGATATATACCTATAGTGAGATTAGTGGATGGTTTTTAACTTTTTGAGGAACTTCCACACTGTTCTTCTTATGGTTTTATTTAATCTTATTACTGATTCCTCTCCAACCTGTAGTACCTTGGACAGTGTTCAGTGTATTTATGTGAAAATAAATAGAAAGGAAATAGAATGCATAGTGATGTCAGTTGCTGATGCAGTTTCTGCTAAATTAATATTCAGTTAATACTGGAAAAAAAACAAGGTATTTAATTTTTAAAAGTGATGAACCCAACTGATTCCTCTTTATTTGTACTTTTTAATTATGCTTAGAAGTAAGAATACATTTTTTTTTCCTTCTAGTTTTACCCTTTCTGACTTTACKTTTTCTTTCTGAAGAGGCCAAGTTTAATTAGCTTTGCAGTTTTAGGAGCCACTCATGCTTAAGTGTCTTTTGCCTTTTATCCAAGTGATGTTTTCCAGTGTCATCCTGACTTCCTGATAAACCTTCATGGCTGATCCTGCATAAATGGCTTCTGCAGAAGTCCCTGTGAGAGCGTTTTATTTTCACTTTTAGGCTCTATCCCTGAGGCTGTTCAGTAGTGGTAGAGGTGGGATCTGATATCTTTTTTTTTTATTCCAATAAAAACAAAACTAGATACTCACAAACTTTATATCTCTGTGTTTGTAAATTAGACTCTGGCTCCTGATGTGGCTCCCCAGTCTGAGGTCACTGTGTTTCTGTGCCTCTGGGTACTTGTGCAGTTGCTTTTTTCTTTCTCTTCACTACTGAGACAGCTTGTAATTTGGGGGCCTTTCTGATACATGGTGACTTTTTTTTTGGTACAAAATGTGTTCTTTTTATTAAGAATTAAAAAAAACATAATCACATTCTTCTTTGTCATAATTTCTTTTTAAACTTGGGCTAATGTGTATGATGGATACAACTAGATTTTAAATCTRGAAAGCACCTTTTGGGTGTCAGTTGTGTGACAGGCATTGGGTGGAATACTGGAGACACACGTAGGAATAAGATATATTCACAAGATAGAGACTGCCATCTGCAGCTTTGATTCTGGGCCATCTAGCTCAGGGTGGAAAGAGTGACAGGTAATGAATCAACATCTACWGATGCTGAGAAGTTACTGAGCCCTATGTGGTGTTCAGTGTTCAGAACTATGATCAGTGCTGAGGACAATATCAAAGTGACAGCTACTTTTTATGAAGGCTTATTAGATGCCATCATTGTGCTTAGCATACTTAGCCTTTTCTGAACAACTCAATGAGATAAAAATGTTATTCTCATTTTATGTATAGGAAAACTGAGGTCCCAAGTGGCAAAGCAGTTTTCTTCAGTTTTTAGAACTAGAAACTGGTGAACCTGGACTTTGAGCCAAAGTCTGTCTGACTCCAGAGTGTGCTCTTGATCACTGTATCATGCTGTCCCCTCCATCTTCTCTCCACTTAAACTATGTAGGGCAGGGTGTGTGTGATTGATGTACCCAGAGTGAGGTGACACGGTGTGTATGGTAAGGATGAAAGAATGCAAGAATAAGGAACTTTGTAACAAGGAAGAACTCAGAACAGGCCAGAAGAGTGGGGCCATGATACTAGAAAGGGCCTTTGAGTAGTCAGAGAATATCTTCCCTTCTGTTCAGAGATCTCAGCCTCATTGTCCACACTGTAGCTGTCCTAAATTCCAGAGTGCCATGGAGATTGAGGGGGTTCTTTGTGGCATTTCTATCATTTTTATGTAACAGCAYATCYTTTTTTTTTCTTTTTTTGTACTGGGGATTGAACYCAGGRGCATTCAACCAYTGAGCCACMTCYCCAGCCCTATTTTGTATTTT